TATATATACATATATGTATGTGTTGTATATAGCAACACACACACACTCATACACACAATTAGAGGGGTGATATTAAAATATTTAACTGGTACAGTGCATTATAGGCATCAAATAAAAATAGACATTGCCTCGGCCAGGTGGCTCGGTTGGAGCATTATCACATACACCAAAAGGGTTTCAGGTTCAAGTCCCAGTTGGGACACATATCTTGGTTGTGGGTTCAATCCCCAGTCAGGGCACATACAAGAGGCAATCAATGTTTCACTCTTACATCAATGTTTCTCTCTCTCTAAAATTAATAAATATATGAAATGAGGATATTTTTTAAAACAGGATAGATGTTGACCATAGTGGTATGTGTGCATGTATGTCAGTTTAGGAAACATCTGAAAGGTTATATAGCATGCTGTAACAGTGATGATAGGAGAGGGTGAGGAGCCTTCATTTCCTAAGTCATACAGTTGTATTCCACCCTTTCAAAAGTAAAGTAGATTATAAACAATGTGCTATTTGACCAGCAGTTTACAGTTTTAATTACCTTATAATTGAGGTTATTCAAGGCAATTGTAAACATTTTGTCTGATACATGAAACAATAGCTATTTTCTAAATAAAATGGATCCATAAAAATTAAAGTCAAATACTCTTAGGACTTGACTAGGTGTCACGAAATCTAGGTGCTAGTTTTGGTTCATTCTTTCTAAGCCTTAGTTTTCTTATCTGTGAAATGAGAAGTCTTTATATAAGTGTACTAGAGCCCCGATGCACAAAATTTGCATTGATTTCCTTCCTCTCTGAAATCAATAAAAATACAACTTCATAACTTAGAAGAAAAAATTTTGATTAAGCACGGGGGGTTGGGGGGTGGTTTCCTCAGCCCACCTGTACCCTCTCCCAATCCGGGATACCTCTCACAATCCGGGACTGCTGTCTCCTAACTGCTCACCTGCCTGCCAGCTTGATCGACCCTAACTGCCCCCCCTGATGGCCTGGTTGCCCACAACTCTCCCTCCCTGCTGGCCTGGTTGCCCCTAACTGCTGCCCCCACCAGCCAGTTTGCCCCTTACTGCCCACCCTCTGCAGGCCTGGTTGCCCCATGCAGCCTGCTGTTCAGTCATTTGGTCGTCCCTCCCTAACCCCCCTGCCGACCTTGTTGCCCACACAGCATGTCAGCCTGCTGTTAGGTCGTTACTGTTACTGTGACGGCACCCTGGACAATTTGCATATTCCTCTATGGTAATATGTAATACATGTTTCTGCCGTATTTATTTTTTCTGAAGAACCTAGCACAACATGTGCTAAGAAAACAGAAGCAGCCCTAGCTGGTTTCCCTCAGAGGTTAGAGCATCAGGGCGCATTGGGAGGTAGCCAATTGATGTGTCTTTCTTATATTGATGTTTTAAAAAAAAAAAATAAAAGCCCTGCCAGTGTGGCTCAGGGATTGAGTGTCGACCTAGGACCAGAAGTCACAGTTCAATTCCAGTCAGGGCACATGCCTGAGTTGTAGGCTCAATCCCCAGTAGGAGGCAGGCAGGAGGCAGCCAATTGATGATTCTCTCTCATCATTGATGTTTCTATCTCTACCTCTCCTTCCTCTCTGAAATCAGTGACTGAGGTACTAAGCCATAAAACCCCCCAAACAGAAGAAAGAATTTTGATTAAGTTAGATTAACAGTGTACTGTATATGTTAAAGACATCAGTTAGATCAGGAATGGCATTTAGCATTCACATTTTGATCTTGTATGTTTCATGTGGCTAACCATTCTAGCATCTAACTATTGTGATCATAATAGTAAAGCATAATTTTTAAAACTGCCCCAATTATATTTAATTTAAAATTTTTGTTAAATGATTTAAAAATGCTCAAAACAAATAAGGGTTTTAACCCATTCAAGAAACAATACTCAGAAGGATGGTCTTAAGTGACTGAGGTCTAAGCTGCAGAAAACAGACACAGTGACATATGTGACCCTTTTAAGTTATAATGATTACCAAGGACCTTTAATAGATTTTTTAAAAAGAGACTTAAAAGGCAAGTGGCAGGAAAGAAAGTTTAGTCTGGGAGAAACTTGAGTTGATCAGCGCTATTAATAGCCCTGTATGAAAAAGATAGTACAGGCAGGCATACCTTTTTTTACTGCATTTCCCTTCCTCCTACTCCACAGATACTGTGTTTTTTAGAAATTGAAGGCAGGACCCTTCACCAGCAAAAAAAAAATTACAAGTCACTTTATGGCAATATTCCTTTATTGTGGTAGTTAGAACTGAACCCTCAATATCTCCAGGTGTGCCTGCGCTATCCTTACTCTAAATAGCAGCTGATACTCATCAACGTAAGAAATGTCCAAACCTGAGGATTTCTTAAGAGTTTATTTGAGCCAACCTGATGACATATGCTGGGGAGCAAGATCTCAAATGCTCCAGGGAATAAGTTTTGTAGCTTCTTTTAGCATTTGAAATTAAAGAGTGATGAACATAAGGAAGATTATGTGGAGGTAGAAGAAAGCAGAGTGGGGATTGGATTAAAGGGTGTTAATGAGATTATGTGCTCTGTTGAGGGTGGTTACTGCCTTATTTCAAAGGTATGTTAACCTAGAGATGAACAGAAACAATGGACAGGGTTCACTTAAGGCAAAGATAAACCTTTTACTAAAAAGTTACAAGCCTAGGGCATGACTATCAACTATGACCTCCCCAGTTAGGAATCTATGTTCAGATCACCCTGTGAAGTTACTTTCCATAGAACCACTTTTTTTCCCCCTCCACATACACAATAGAGCTAAAAATTGTTAAAATTGCCACCATTAAATAGAAGAAAAAGATGGCTATTGCTTTGCAGTTACATTGTAACATTGCTCATAGAGAACATCTAATTTTATGTACTGCTTTTCAAATGTGGAGCTATA